TTGTGATCCCGTTACCGGTCAGTAAAAAAGACAAAAAGGAAAAAAAAAAAAAAGAAAATGATTCTGAAAGATCCCTGAGGGTCCCAGGAACTCATTTTTAGGGGACATTTAATTTCAGCGAAGGTACTACTCTGAGGTTGTAGTTGGTGTTATGCAACTGGGCTGATTTGAATCCTAGAGTATGAGGTTTACTGGATGGCTGCAGTGTCACAGTAAGCAGTGTCCTGCCAGCCTGTTCTGAGCAGCTCCTGTCCTTGTCTTCTACAGATGCTGCTAATGGAAACAGTAGCCATGGAGGGAAGAGCATTGCATCCAGCTCCACTCCAGCCCGTCCAGGGAATTACTCTTTGTCACCAAGATCTAGCTATACATCAGGAGACCAAGGTACAACACCCATCTTAGCATTTTGAAATAATGCACTTAGTTATGGTAGAAGTGCTACGGCTTTCAGACTGATGAATTATCTGGCAGAACATTCTAGAGTTTTTCTTCAGCTTGTTATATAGGGTTTGGAAAGTTCATGTTTAGTGTGAATGGTAACGATTAAATGTCTTGGTGATTCTACATGATGAGCCTGACTGGTTAAGAATGTTGAAACAAATGTATAAGGAAGTATCTTGAAAAACCATGGATTTTGCTGACCAAAGTACAGGATTCAAAATTCTTCTTTTATGTGATCCCGGGCAAATCTGAGCCTTTCTTTATCCATCTACAATATAAGTATAACAATAATACTTTCCTACATTTTCACAGGGTTGTTGATAGAATCAAATGAAATAATCTGGTAAAACTGTAAATTGTAAAACAGCATGCAGATGTTAGGTGGTTGTTAGTGTGGCTTTTTCTAACTATCTTTACCTCTAGAAGACTGACCTAGACTTTGAGTATAATCAAGTTAAAGGTCCTATGTTACTTTGGCATTCTTTCTTTCTTCCACATTCCTGAGGACAAGGCTGTCTTTCTTTTTTGTCTTCAGCTACCATGTTCATTTCTGGGCCACCAAAGAAACGACATCGGGGATGGTATCCTGGGTCACCTGTCCCCCAACCTGGTTTAGTTGTACCTGTTCCTACAGTTCGCCCTCTTTCAAGAACTGGTAAGATTTTAACAGGAGATGGGTTTAAGGTTTTTTGAATTAGCAGAGATACATTCTACTCATTTTCTTTCCCTGCACCTTTGAAGATAAATTTCCTTAACCAACCGTTATGTCCAATCTTATGTAACGATATTGGTAGAAGCTAATATTTTGTCCTCATCACATCTGCCTTCCCTAGAAGCATATGTACCATTGCAACTGATCTTAATTCAACAAGTGGCTTAGTTTTAGCTCACAGTATTGATAAGCCATTCATTATATAGGGCATTATGCTACCAACCCACCATCGTAGGGCACAAATGGACTTGCTTTGCCAGTAGTGGTGTTAGACTTGCCCTCCTGTGATCTGGTTTCTTACCTGGTTTCTATGCTTATTACTTCTGGCCTGGATGGTTCAGTCTGTAGCTAGAAACCTGAAAAACAGATTCATTATACCCAAACTGTGGCTATTTGGGGCCCACGGTTATATGTTCAAATGTGCCTACCTTGCTATACTTAACATAGACAATTCTAAATATGCCAATTTTAGAAATAGATGGGGTTCTTTAAAAATTGTTTGTTTAAGTAAATAGTATTAAAGATCACACAGAAATCTTACATACACAAAGAATTATGCCAGTATGTTACTGTGGTCGCCTCTAGGTAGTACTAATTAACAATGAGTTTATCCTTCTTCACACTTTTCTATACTTTTCAAATTTTCTATAATGAGCAGATATGCCATTGATAATCCAGGAGGGGAGGGGAGATAAAATACAAAAGAATAAAAAATGTTGTGTGTGATAAAAATGACTGGAAGGAAAACTATCAAAATATTAAATAGTAGTTATCTCCAGGTGATATGATTAAGGTTGATTTTTTTTCTTCCTCTGTTTTTTTCACTTCTAATTTTATATAATAAACACAAATTACTGTAATGGAAAAAAAACCATTAGGCTTCTAAAACTTGTATATTGAAAGTATTAAAACTGTGTTGCTTTCCATTGTATTTCATTTAGCTTTCACATCTAATTCTTCCTGTCAAACAACTTTTTTTCTCCTAGAGCCTCTTTTATCTGCCCCAGTTCCACAGACCCCCTTAACTGGAATTTTACAACCTCGGCCCATTCCTGCAGGGGAAACTGTAATTGTTCCTGAAAACCTGCTGAGTAATTCAGGAGTTAGACCAGTAATTCTGATAGGTAAGGCAAAGGAATTCCAAGTTGCCTGTGTCTTCTGGAATCTAGGAGTGTTTCTCCATTCTGTTGTGTTTATTCATGTGTTCATGAGTATATTCATTTATCCATCTGTTGATTCAGCTTTTCTTGGTCAGCTCCTTCATGCTATATTAAGCATGTGATTAGAAGCTGAGAATAAGGCAGTCTTTTTACTCTCAAGGAGCACTGTTTAGTGGGGGAGTCTGACCCCCCCCACTAACCACTGTGGTTAGTAAATAACCATTACAACATACCGCGATAACCATTTCAACACACTGTGATGTATGAGCTGGTAGAGTTTCACAACCAAGAGCTATAAGAATTCAGAGGAGAGAGGGCTTACCTCTGCCTGGAGGGGTCTGAGAAGATTTCTCAGAGGTGATGTTTAATCTCGGTCCTGGAAGGTTGGTAAGAGTGGACAAGGTGATGGTGGGGGAGGGTACATTCCAGTGAGAGTGAGCCAGAACACAGAGAAAAGCAATAAGCTAAGCCAGCTAACAGTCCCCACTCAGGAGAGCCAAGAGGCAGGTCTGAGTTGTGCAGAAGCATCTGTGAATCATCAGTATCTTTAAAAAGCCTGAGCCCTTCCAACCTGTCTACAGGTGGAGGTATAGAAATTTAGGCATCCCTACTTTCCAGGACTTAGTACATTTTATACCCACATCAAAAGACCTCTTGATCTGCTTTACCTT